AGCATTAATGACAATATGGCTTCTTAGGAGTGATCGGAGCTTCCTAACAGTTAGAACTGTTCCCGCAGGCATTAATTTACCTCATGAATTGGCAAACCTTCCCATCAGCCAGTGTAGGGTTCAGATGGAGAATGAGCAACTGTCTTGCATGTTATACAACAGATTTTTAACGGAGCAAGGGGTCGAATATAACATGGTTTCTCAATTTTTGTGTTGTATCTGCCACCTGTGCCTTTATTAGATTACCTGTTTTCCTCAACAAAATTTCTAAAAATGCCCTTTTCTGAAGTCATTGTGTATTTGTCCCTTTTTTCTTATTATTGTTATTATTTCCTTTACATTTAGGGACTTTAAAATTCTGAGAACATCTTAGTAATTGTTATGAAAATGTGTAAGGCTCCTAGCCCATGTCCAGGCCATCTCTGCCTGTACTTCTGCTTGAGAACCTGTAGATTAGAAATTGTTACCTCAAAGGTATTGTTCAAGATACTTTGGTTATAATGAGCAAAACTTGAGAGAGGAAGAAGGATTGCCTGACAAAAGGGTGTTGTGAGAAGATAACAGACTGTGTGTGTGTGTGTTTGTGTGTGTGTGTGATGGGCAGACATCTGAGAAAATAATTTTGACTATACTTTATTTGTATATATTTGATATTTTAATTATATTATTATTTAATTATATTTAATTAAAATAATATATGTTTATTGTGAAATAATGCTAGAAAGTTAGATTGTGGTGAGGGTGCATTAGGGCCTTTAATATGATGCTAAGGAACTACAAGTTATACGATAAATATAAGTTGACAAAAAGATGTCAATTAGGTAAGAACCAGCCTACCCAAGAAGCAAAAAGTGGAGCTTATTCTTAACAGAAGTTTCTGCAAATTTTTTGTTTAGTGCCAGAGACCAAAGTAACTTTACATGACCAGACTACAGAACAACAACAACAAAATGAAAGTAGAATTTTCCATATGATATAAATATTTTTATATGACATCCAGGAGTTCACAATGAGGGAATAAGGATACTTGACCATACTTGGCCCTTTGACCACCAATAATAAACTTTTCTGTTACATATCATAGATGGCCCTACATTTTTAAGGCTTTTATCTCTGGTTTTCATCAGCTTGACTCTGATAAGGTAGGTATTATTTCCTTCTTTTATTTTGTCTTCTTGGGGTTTTCTGAGCTTTTTGGTTTTGTGGGTTGATGTCTTTCATCAATTTTCGAAAATCCTCAGCCACCGTCTCTTCAAAATTGTTCTCTGCACCATTGTCTTTCTCTTTTTCTTTCAGGACTCCAATTCCGTGTGTTCATTATTTTCCCACGGGTCTTACATGCCCTGATCTGGTAATTTCTTTTTTTCTTTTTTCATTCTTTTTTTCTTTGTGCTTCAGTTGGGATATTTTTTTGATCTCTCTTAGAATTCATCCATCCTTTTCCTGCTATGTCCATTTCTACTGTGAGGTCCACTCAATAAACTTTTCATTTCAAAGTAGTTTATTGTTTTTCAAGAAAATTATTATTAAAAAAGTAATTATTATTATTATTAATTATTATTTTAGAGAGCTTTTAAAAAGTTCCCTCTTGGAGTTTCTTCCTCCTCATGGTTTACTTCTATCTTTTCCTTTATTTCTTTATCTCAATTATGATTGTTTAATGTCTTTGTCTGTTAATTTTACCAGCCAGGTCAGCTGTGGGTCGGTCTCCATTGGCTGTTATCTTTTATCTAGACGTCACATGTTCCTGTTTCTGTGGCTGCATCTTGTGCCAAACATGGTGTATAAATGAACTGTGAAGACTGAAGTAGAAGATATTTATCCCCCACTAAAAAGCTGTCTCTGTCAGGCAGCTGTGGTGAGGGGATGATGTCTCTGGTTAGAATTAAGCTAAGTTGGGGTTAAGTTGTAGCTTTGGTTAGTGCTAATTCATCCTTGGTTTTCAAAAGTTTTGAGGTGTAAAAAATCCCTCCTTCTAGTCGGGTTTGGTATCCAAGCACCGTGTAACTGTAGGCTTCTGCCCTGCTCCCTCGCCCTGCCTGAAGATGTCTGGGCCACTGGAGATCTCCCTTTGGCTCTCACCCTGGGCCCAATTACTCACATGCGGCCGAGCGCTGGATACAAGTGCTAAGGTTGAGAATTGGTAGATGATGAGGACTCGTTCTGTGTCTGGGGCTCCTATGTGTTCAGTATTCCACATTAGGCCAAGATGGCTAAGCATTCAGCTAGATTCTCCATTTACTTGCGAAGCCTCCTACCCAGTGACAAGTCTGCTTCTTCATCTATTTCCTAAGATTAAAAGCCACCTCTAGTCCAAGGTCATATATGAAGGGCTTACCCCTCTCTGAGATTTAGTTTTCCCTAAATTTCTTTGTGCCCTAGTTCCCCAGTGGGTTCAATAATATGCACAATTTTGTAATTTAGCCAGTGTCTTTTCTGTGTTATAGTGAGAATTACGGTCATTTCTGACCACCTTCCTCATAAAGCAGAAGCAGCACTTTGAAGGTCTTCTGTTGGCGAAATTACTTTGTTAATTTTTTTTCTGATCGTAAAAATAACAATCCTTTTCAAAATTGCAGAAAGTCCAGAAAATTGAAGAATACTTTATCAATATGCATTTTCATCATTTTGTAAGGCTTACCCTAATCGTCTCTGAGTTGCTTCAATCTCCAGGTATCTGGTGTCCCAAGAATTTTACTTTCTCTTCCAATTTTCCATGTAGGCTTCAGCCTTCCAAATTCTTGTTTTCTTCTTGGATTTTGCTTGTTCTCTACTCTCCTTTCACATGTACCTTCTACCACATGGAAGGTGAAATGCATCACCTTTATGCTATACAGTGAACTCTAGGTCTGTAGTGTGTTTTCCTTCCAAAAGTAGGCCCTTCTTGGTACTCAGAAAATAAAGGTATTATTCCAAGGACATTATGACCCCCAACCACCGGGACTGATGAGATGGCATTGGTGGATGGCAGAGACCCACGCATTTATTTCCCTCATTTTATAGTGCTCACTTACGAAGCTATTGTAAAATACTCATGGAACTATCACACCATAAGATAGCTGTGGAAATATCCAGGTTGGTGGAGAGGATTCTCTGAGAGATACAATGAAACTCGGTGATCCTTTCTTGCTGAAGAGGAAAAGAATGAGTCCCAAGCTACACATTACAGAGCAACAGATCTCTCTTGTGATACAGGGCGAGGGAAAGAGACTACAAGAATAAATAAGATAAGACAACTGTTGTCAGATAAATTCCTTTATTTGATAACATATAGCTTTTTTCCTCCTTTTCAATCAATATCAGTGACTAGATTTTTGTTCATATATTTATTTTTTTTAGGGCTGTCAAGGTAGCTGCATGTGACTCTTCTATCTTGTAAAATAGGCTGCCGTGGAATTTCCTTTCGTGCATGAGGACTGGCTTCTCATGGACACATGCTGCCTGGCGTTATTAGGTTTTGTTTAGCGGCCTTGAACTGTCGTTCCTCACGCAGAATGATACTGGTGTTTTACAAGGTTACAGATGAATTTTAACCTCGATAGGTTCTTTTCTTCTTTATTAAATACACTGTAATCTGATTCGTCTTAGAGATAATTGAAATAAAGGCTTAAAATAATAATAATACTAGCTATGTGCATTTCATGTTTTTATGACCTTTTTTTTTTTTGTATTTATTGTCCAACCCAATGGTTGTATCAATTTACCGAGGAAGATGCTTATACCCTTGTCTTTTATTGAGGAGGAAACTTGAGTGCATGGAAACCTTGATTTAAAAAAAAAGTGACTAGCCCAAGACCACAGAAACTTAATGATAGAATTGGGTCAGTACTGGTCAAATTCTTACTTTATCTATTTTGGATGTATAGCTGAGTAAGATCAGGTTAGTAGTAGAGAGGCATTTTTAAAGGCACCGATAAGAGTAGAAGAAATTATTATAATGGCATCGGTTCAGCTTTATTTTCAAATGATGATTCAAAACAGGTTTCTGACTTCATTTCTCCTCCTCCTCCTTCTCAGTTAGCTTTGATTCTCTTATCACAAAGGTTACTCACAGCCAACTAGCCAAATGAAAAGTATGGCTTGATTAAGAATCTCTTTTGTCAGTAATTTGTGTCTAATGTTTTTAGCTTTCCCATGGGCTGTTGTAGAAAATGGTAAATCTGGTTTAAATGAAACCTGATCCTGTTAATGGTTTAATAGCAGCTGCCACAGGGTTATGGTATTTTTCAACAGATGCTTCTGTTTCATTTTAAACATAAACTGACTCTTGGAATATTTACATAAATCATATAAAATATGGCTACACACTTTTGGCTAAATATATTGTTATAAAATAGTCTTAGGCAAGTCCCTATCTTTGTCCATTTACAATTATTCACATAGAATTTGAAAAAGAAACCCAAGCCTATGCTCTATTAAAAAAAAAGATTATTCACTTTCCTGAAATTCTTTTTTTAAAAGGCCAAAGGGCAAGCTCCATCTCTACATCTGGGGACCTGAACAATGATTTGGTCAATCGGATCATTTCATCCATCTTTATGCCTAACACTATTTATTTAGCATGGACAAATTGCTTATACAGTGACGTGCAGTACAGTTTCAACTGAAATAAACAGGAGAGTCACATAATTAAATGGGACACTATTTTTCCTTGAAGAGGTAGACGTTGTAATAGTAATTTAAGCTATCATTATACCTAGGATTAGTTTCTCTGGAGTGCGATAGCTCAACCATTGTGTATCTATTTTATTTTTTTAAATGTTTATTTATTTATTTGGAGAGGGGAGAGCGAGAGAGGGAGAGAGAGAGAGAGAGAGACAGAGAGACAGAGAATCCCAAGCAGGCTCTTCGCTATCAGTGCAGACCCCAACATGGGGCTCGATTCCATGAACCATGAAATCATGACCTGAGCAGAAATCAAGAGTTGGACGCTTAACCAGCTAAGCTGCCCAGGCACCCAAGTTCAACCATTTTTTTTAAAGCATTTCTTCTGTGTAAAGGACTCGTTTGGGGTACGAGAAGACTACAAAGATGAGTGGCAGGCAAGTAAAATGATGATGGTGACAACTGATAGAAATAGTTATACTATAGAAGCAGCAGCTCAAGCAAAAGGAACCGGAAGTTCAGTATACTGTGTTAGGTAACTTACGAAGTGCAGAATCTTGAATGGGCGGGATCAAGTTTGTTGCTTGGGTCACATTTTCATGCTGGCATGTTGCTCGATTAATTTGGGCTGGAAAGGTTATGCATGCAAATACATCCAATAGTGAATTTTTCTTCAATTTTTTTTTTGATTTGGGTGTAATTGGCACACGATGTTTCATCCATTTCACGTGTATAACGTAGTGAACCAAGTTTACACCTGACGCTATGCTCCCCACACATGTAGGTACCATTTGTCCCCACACGCCCCTATTACATTATCACTGACTACATTCCTTATGCTGTGTCTTTTATTCCAATGACTCATGCAGTCCATAACTGGAAGTCTGTATCTCACCCTCTCCTTCACACATTTTGTTCATCCCCAGCAGCCTCCTCCCCTCTGGCAACCATCAGTTTGTTCTCTGTGTTTCCTCATCTGATTCTGCTTTTTGTTTGTTTATTTCTTTGTTTTTTTTTCAGAGTCCATGCACATGTGAACTCATATAGTATTTGTCTTTGTCAGTCTGACTTACTCTCTAGTCTAGGTTCATCCATATTGTTGAAAATAGCATGATCCCATCCTTTTTAATGCCTGTGTGATATCCCTACACACACACACACACACACACACACACACACACACACACACCCCAAATCCCCCTTATCCATTTGTCTGTCAATGGGCTCTTAGGTTGCTTCCACATCTTGGCTATAATAAATAATGATGCTGTGCAAAACAGTATGGAGTTTCCTCAGAAAAGTAGAAATACCATGGGATCTCATAATTCCACCACTGGATATTAATCAAAGAAACAAAAACACTAATTTGGAAGGATATGTGCACCCCTACGTTTATTGCAACATTATTGACAATAGTGAATTTTTAAGGGCAACCAATGGAAGTAAAACCCAACTCTGTCCTTAATTCTAAATTATATATAGGTGCCATTGAATGTAGCACATTTCTGTGTACAAGCATCCCGATCTCCCCTTGCCTTGGTATCCTTCCCTAGGCACTCCCTCCGAAGAAAGATGTGAAACCTGGCATGGCATTCTTGTTTGAACTCTGTCTCCTTCGTGGGAAATATGCTTCTTTTGACTGGGTTGTGGGCTGGGCAGCCTTCCCTGTGTGTGATAACAACTTTGATGTAGTGGACGGGAAATTCAAGTGTCCCCTTCTCCGAGGTCATTATGACCAGAAATTCGACAGCTTCAGGAAAATGGAAGATTTGATGTGCCAGGACTTGGACCACTGGCTGTGCAATCTCTACTTTCAGGTTTGTAATATGATTTTTTTTCAAATGTTTTATTTATTTTTGAGAGAGCAAAAGTGGGGGAGGGGCAGAGAGAGAGGGACAGAGGATCTGAAGCAGGCTGACAGCAGCGAGCCCCATGTGGGGCTTGAACTCACGAACTGCGAGATCATGACCTGAGCCGAAGTCGGATGGACACTCAACCGACTGAGCCACACAGATGTGCCTGTGATATGATTTTGTAAGTAAAGAACTTAAATTTTTTCTGAAACCGGGGCACCTGGGTGACTCAGGCATTTAAGCGTCCGACTTTAGCTCAGGTCATGATCTTGTTGTCTGTGAGTTTGAGTCCCGCATCCGGCTCTGTGCTGACAGCTCAGAGCCAGGAGCCTGCTTTGGATTCTGTGCCTCCCTCTCTCTCTGCACCTTCCCTGCTTGCACTCCGTCTCTCTCTGTCTCTGTCTCTCTCTCTCTCAAAAATAAACATTATTTTTTTCTAAAACTGCTTATTTCTAGCGTTTAGCTGACTTTTGTGCTATTGAAAATTTCAATATGTATCATAAATCTGTGAAAGCATTTACATCTTAATTCTTTCTTAATGCTGATTAAATTGATGTCTACAAATAAGGAATAAAATTCCAGAATTAGCAGGAAATTTAAAGATAATTTAATCCAAACTTCTATGTCAAGAGCAGGCTGAGAAGGGCACCCAAATCCTTCAATTCTCTGTTTATAATCTGCTGCTGCCGGATCTGATCTGTCTCATCAACTTGGGTATAGGGCGATGGTGTTTCCTTATCCAATGTACTAAATGAGCTACTAGTTTGTGTTGGGCATTGCTTGTTCTAGAAATGCAAAAGAAACGAGATAGAGTCTGTGCCTTCCTGATGCTCGCCACTTATTTGATGAGACAAGCATGTGTTCATACATAAGATAATGACCCACATTTCCAAGGGATGAAAATGGTCTTCACCAAACTCTCTTTGCCATACATATCACTTCAAAGCATGCTGTCTTAATTACTTCAAGAATTAAAAATGAAACACACTCCCAAAAAACGCTTGGGTGAACACCATTTATTTGTACATATTTGGAAATTTATTTTCTAACCAAGTCTTTTAGCAGAAATGTCATTGCAGAAATTCATTCTAGGAAGACACCGCGGAGGATCAAAAAAAAAAAAATATGACAGCATACCTTAAGTGTAAAGCATTCCAACAGAATTTTAGTTTATTTCGGTCCTCTATGTCCAAATTTATTCTTTCTGATTATGATGGTTTTCCACAGCACCCATATCAGAAAATGCTATGATTTTTTTTTCTTCCTTACCTGAGTGTTTGACATTTCCTTGTCTGTCTGTCTGTCTATCTAGCTACCTAGCTAGGTTGCTATCAATCTAATCTAATGTATGTATGTATGTACATGTATATATATATTATGTATTATGTGTGTATGTATGTATCATCTATCTATCACTGTCATCTATCCACCTAAGTGATTGAACTATTAAATACGGACATTTCCAGGAAACACATGTAGTTTTGGCTTAAAAATCAACAGCTATATATCCTTCTTATGTGATGGTCTTCCCGTTTCCTGTGTATTTTATGTTGAATCAACCGGCATGCTTCCCCCTGTTAGCGAATACCATTATAATGTTTTGCTGAAATATCTTTTTGAGATATTATGGGTTGCTGTTAAGAAAACAAATATAAATATAAATATGTACCTTTCTACTCATTTTAAAAATAGTCACCATTCTGGGATAAATCTGACTGTATATTGGAATTATGTAGGAAACTTTAGAAATAGTCCAAATCTTGTTCTCAGAGATTTTGATTCAATTGTTTTGAGGTGGGGTATCAGGATCCGAAGTTTATAAAACCTTCTATGGTTTAGAAATGCTGATATAAATACATTTGAAAAGGGAGACCATTAGAAATGAATTCAAAGGAATTATTGAAAAATCCCTCAAATTTTGAAGTGAGCTAACCCAAACAAAATATTTTATAAGTGGATGATTTGAATACCGCATTAAAAAATCAAAATGAAATAAAATACAGTTATAAAAGCAAATAAATTTTGATATAGGTTTACTAGTGAATGTGAAAGGCATCTATGATTTTTTTACTATTTGTTCCCTAAAATTCAGTGTTATGTTAACTATGGCAAGGTCATTTCGGTAGTGCTGGTATTGATAATAAAGACATAAGTATGTTATATTTAAGATAAATCAAGAAGTGATGTTTAAAATTTATAAGGTCAAGAAAACTAGCTATTTGCAAAACAACATTAGAAAGCTTGATTTCACTAAAATTTACTTGATTTGAACACATTACTAAAATTTTCCTTTTTCTTTTCTGACTCCCTTAAAAAATGGTGAAATGTAGTATTATGGCTTATCTGTAGAGCCCACTGGTCATTATTCATTACAGATGATTGTAATTGTCCACTGACTTTCTTATTTGTTAATAAATGTTTTCTCTCTGTATATTTCATGGGGGGGGCGTGAGTCTTATCAAGGAGAACAGTGTCATTATTTAAGATAGGATTTTCTGATTGTCAGCAGCATAAGTAGGAATGCATTTGCTTCTTTTTCATGAGGATAAAAATGAAATATTTTTATCCTGAAATCCGATTTTCCTCTTATGTGAAATTCTTAAATATTAGGAATTTTCCAATGTGAGTCTTCTCAAATGCAATTTTTGAACAAGTAAATGTAATTTTTGAGTACTCCTTTTGGAGTTTCTCAGGAAAAAAAAAAGTAACTTGGATTAGAGAAGAGAAAAGATAGGTAAATGGGATACTAGAACAGGAAAGTCATTTCTGTAATGCAGCCTTAGGAGATATTAAGGGAAATAAGTCAGATAAATTATGATCATTTCCCTCCTGTGTCTGTGAGTGGAAAAAAAATATCACACTCAAAGAGATTGTGGCCAACCCAGAGCACGTAGCTAATCCATGACCTCACATGTTCTACCATGTTGCTTTTAGGGATAGAATTCAGGCTCACAGTCCGAGTGTGGAGACTGGGGAACAGGTCTGATTCGTCCCCCTAGGGTATGTGAAAAAATACAAGGGGAGAAATTATGCAAGCAAAATAACCTTTAACTTTTCCCTGGCAAAAGTTCCTCACTTTCTTAAATATTTCACTTCCAATGTCATGGAGTTTTTCCACCAAGCACTTTATTATTAAATTTGTAAACATAGAGAGATGTTAAAAAAATTGCACAGTGAAACCCATACAGTCACCACTAGAGTCTACAATTTTGTCTTTTATTTTTGAACTAAAAACGTTGTTTCTTGGAGATAGTAAATACAGAATGAATATTTGCTAACTTGATCCCAGTGTAAGTATCAGATAGTGTTATTTGCAAGAAGATATTAAGGAAAATTATAAGGTAAAACAAAGGAAAAACTAAGAACTAAATAGAGCAATGGAAATATCTAAAGCAATTATGTAAATCGTTACTACAAAAAAAGCATACTTTGTAAAGCCGCCAAACAAAAGCAATTATAAGGTTCGGAAAATTGATTCGCCGTTGACCTTTTAGAGTTTGCAAATTGTATCATTGTTCTAGGGTAAAATTCACTGTGTGTGAAATATTTTCAACAGTTTAGATAAGAGATTTATCTCTTAATAGGTTATTAAACTTCCTCTGTGTTTGGATGATCAAACAACCTATGAAAGGCAGACTCAGCTTCCTCCCGAATTTCCAGTTTCTTTAATGGCTGGAGCAGAGACAGCAGAATCAGGCGTGGAGAATACAGCTGGCCTTTCAGAGAAACAAACAGAAGAAAACATTTGTTCATCCCTGGATGGTAAGGCTAAAATCCTCCCTACGCTCTTCTCAGGGTTAGTTGACTGTCTTCAGCATTCTATTACTAATATTTCAAGTTGTGTTATATTGTAGAAAACTGAGAAAGAAATTTTAATTATTAATGTAGTTATTTCTATGCCATGCTGCTTAAAGAGAACGTAATCATTGACAAGAATATTAGTTTCCATACTGCATAATTATTTACTAATTATAATCAACTGTAGAATTACTTCATTGAAACACAGGTCTTTCTCCACGGACTTGTGGCTTAAAGTAAAGCTCTAGAACTTTCTTGCTTGCTCACAAGAGTGGTAACCAACAAAAGGCTATGAAAGAGAACATACTCTCATAAAGCAGTGTTCAACTAATATAGTTTATTTCATAAAGCTGTTTTCAAAGCCTGGCTTAATCAAGCACTGAATAAGCAAATAACATTCTCTGAACTAGTTAATGTACAGCTTACAGAAGGGATATATTAGCGATTACTATTATTTTTTGCGAAAGAGTTATTTCCTTTACCAAAAGATGTACAAGATTCTTTAACAGGTTGTATCTTCTAGCAGTAATAATAGTATCAGGAGCAAGAGTATGGGGCTGAACTGGTAGTGCAACTAATATTAGAAGACTTACCAGTAATAATAATTACATGTGATATCTGTTTTTCCTGTGCCAGGCACTATAGTAAGGACTTTATTTTTTAGTTCAGAAATTAGCAAATATTTCAAACATATGGTTCAGCAAATAACATATACCAGTAATAGTAACCAGCTGTGTCCATTCTTGCTACTTTGCCATCTTTGCACTACGCCTTTTCTTTTAAAAAGTAACATTTTAGGGGAACCTGGGTGGCTGTCTGTTGGGCGCCAGACTCTTGATTTTGCCTCAGGTCATGATCTTGGGGTTCGTGAATTTGATGCCCGCATTGGGCTCTGACCTGGTGGCACGGAGCCTGCTTAGGATTCTCTCTCCTCTCTCTGTCCCTCCCCCTGTTGCATGAGCATGCATAAGAGTTCATTCTCTCTCTCTCTCTCTCAAAATAAATAAACATTTTTTTTAAAGTAACATTTTACATGTGATTCAGGTCACCCGTGAACTGCTTGCTACTTATGTTCCAACCCTCTTAGACTTCCTGTTGATAGTTTCCGTGTATGTTTCAATACATTTCCTACAGATGTATGTAATTATCAACAATGTATAATGTCTTTTCTATGTTTTTAAAGGTTATGTAAGTAACCATGTTTTATACCTATTTCTGCAACTTTATTTTCTCTCAGCATTATCCTTGAGATTTACACAGCTCACACACACACACTTATATATATTTAGGTTTATTGATACCTTTGCCGTATAATTGCATACATAGCAATGTGCATGATTTTAACAAAATGTGTTTATTTTTATTTTATATGTTGTTTCAAGTCTGGCTCAATTGTAAACAAGATTACAGTGTTTATTCTTGGACATGTTCTCCTTAAGCACATAGGTGCGAATTTCACTAGCATCTATCTACCTAGGAGAGGAATCACTGAATCACAGGGCACACACTTAACTGCCATCAAAATTGTATCAATTTGCCCTTCTAACAGATGTCTAGGATCTTGTTTGGCTCACGTCCTACCAATCTTTGTTACAGTCAGTTTTGCCAATTCAGTTGCAATGAAATAATCTCTTTGCTTGAATTAGAATATTCCTGAATATGACTAAGTTTGACCATTTTTTCCAAATGTTTCTTTGACCATTTCATTTTTATCTTCTGTGAACTGTCTATACCTATATTTTGTTCGCTTTTCCTCTGGGTCATTTTTTTCTTTTCTTTTTCAAAAAATTGTTTTAACGTTCATTTCTTTTTGAGAGAGAGAGAACATGAGTGGGAGAGGGGCAGAGAGAGAGGGAGATACAGAATCTGAAGCAGGGTCCAGGCTCTGAGCTGTCAGCACAGAGCCCGAAGTGGGGCTTGAACCCACAAGCTGTGAGATTATGACCTGGGCTGAAGTCGGACACTTAACTGACTGAGCCACCCAGGTGCCCCTAAAACTTTTTCTTACTAATCTGTAAGAGTTCTGGACTTTTTTTTTTTTTTAATGTGAAATGAGTCATGGGAAGCACTTGATTTCTAATTCAATCTTTGATTGTTACTGATTATTCACTCATTCTATTTAATTCATTAAAAAAAATCAATTGAATTAACTTAGTCATAGTATTATTGTGCATATAATCTATAGTAATACTATGACTATATATGATTATATATAATGTATAATATACGTATTTAATTTAGATTAGATTATATACATATGTACATAATACAATATATGTTATGATATATACGTGTATTAAGTCTATAATATATGTTATACATTATACCCATGATATATGTATATTACATTTGTATTCATAGTTTATTATCTTTAAAGTTTATTTCCTTTTGTTCCAGTTTTCTTGACTAGGGAATACACTCAGATTGCTCAAAATAAAATCTGCGTCCCACTGGAAACTAGTTCTTCTCCTTGAAGGAAACCAATGTTTTCTGAGTATTACTCTATAGATATTTTATGTTTCTATAGGAAAATACATAAAAATACTATTGTAATTTTTCAATACCACTATTACAGTCTTCTTTTCATTATTCATATTGGTTAATATATGCCTTCTTCGCTTTTCTTTATCAGTTTTGGTTGGGTTTTATCTTTTTATTCATTTTTTTAAACATTTACAACTGCTATCTATCTCCACCAAGACTCCCTCTCCGTTGATCTTTTGTTTTCCATGTATTTATACTTAGCTTTATTATTTCTGTACTCCTATCTTCTTCAGGTTTGGGGGAAGAGTTACTTTTCAGTCCTGATTTGAAAGCTTGAGTTATTTACCTTCAGTTTTATTTATATGGTAGATATGGGTGAAATCACGAATTCTGACCTAGATCTGTGCATTTGTCCTTATAGTGCTATCAATATTGTGTTATATATTTTAGATGTGTTGTTAAATGCATGCAATTTTATGATTATTAGTTTATATGTAATTATTTCTCTCATACAGATGTAGTCTCTCTCTATGTGCCTATTAATGCTTCAATTTTTATTCTATTTCTTCTGCTGTTAATACTACCACCTAATTTTTTTTGATAAATGTTTTATGGCATATGTTGTTTTTCTAATATTTATTTAAAAAAAAATTTGAGATAACTGGGTGGCTCAGTCAGTTAAGCATCTGACTTTGGCTTGGGTCATGATCTTGTGGTTGGTGAGTTCGAGCCCTGCATTGGGATTTGTGCTGATGGCTCAGAGCCTGGAGCCTGCTTCGGATTCTGCGTCTCCCTGTCTCTCTGCCCCTCCCTCACTTGCACTCTCTCTCTCTCTCTCTTCCTCTCAAAAATAAATAAACATTAATAAAAATTAAAAAAAAATACAGCCCATCTTTAAAAAAATATATTAAAATTAAAAATTAAAATTCATCTGTGGTGTTCTTTTGAGTATGGCTTAGCAGCATGAATCTAGATTTTAGTTTTGTATTCAAGACAAGTAGTTAATATGTGTCTTTTAATAGATGAGTTTAATTTTTTGTAATTATTGCTATTGCTGTTACATTTGTACTTGCTGATAACATTTTTTTTTGCAATTTAGTTTTGCCACCTTATTTGTTTGCTTTTAAAAAATACTCTATTTCCTGCATTTCTCTTTCACCAAAAATAATTTTATTTTGTTTATCCTCTGCTGTTTATCATCTATAGATTTTATTAATTATTTCAGATGTCATCCTGAATTTTCTTATCTACATTTTTAACTAAAAGTTGTTTTTTTTTTAAGTTTATTCATTTTGAGAGAGAGTGAGTGAGCATGAATGGGGGACGAGCAGAGAAAGAGGGAGAGAGAGAATCTCAAGCAGGCCCTGCACTGCCAGTGGGAAGCCGGACTAGGGGACTGAACTCACAAAGTGTAAGATCATGATTAGAGTCAAAATCAAGAGTTGGATGCTTAACTGACTGAGCCACCCAGGCACCCCTAAAAATTGTTTTACAAAATCTAACTCCATCTGGTTTTTCTCTTCTCTTCCTAAACATGACAAGGACTTTTGGTATATTTTGCCTACCTATTAAACACCTCCATGTACTCTCATATTATTCTTGGCTATGCTTTCAGTTCACTCTTTCATTAAACAGAAAACTCAGTTTTTTTTTTTTTACTCTCAAGAGAAAATTAATTTACTGACACATTTCATCAATATTTGTGCTTCATAGTCTTTTTATATAGCTTGTCTTCACTCTGGTTCCACTTTTCTTCTTGTTGAAAAAAATCTTTTGTAATTCATTTAGAGTTTGGGTCTATAAGTAGCAAACTCTCTTAGCCATTGTATATCTGAAAAAGTCTTTATTCTTTCTTACTTTTCCTCTTTTTCACCATTTATCCATGTATTCATTCTAGAATAGTAAAAACTTTCCTTCACTATTTTCTCCAGTGTCTTTTTGTGTCTGTTGAAGCTGATGAGAAGTTGGTATTAAGTGGGTAGCAACTGAAGGATCTTAAGAAGGGAAGTGATGTATTTCAATTTCCATTTTAGACAGTTCCCTCTGGTAATTTTTAGGAGGGTTTATTTGAAGAGGGCATGTCTAAAATCAGATGAGTTAACAAAAATTTAGAATAATGCCAGCCACAGAAGAGGGTCTGAATTAAGGCAGCAATAGTAAATTGGAGAAGAGAGTATAAATGTATCAAGTATTAAAAAAGTGCAAGAGAATAACTATAGGACTAAGAAAAGAATGTCCCTGTTGATTGATTAAATATTGATGGTAAGGAATAATTAAGGATGATTCCTCATGTTTTAGCACGGATAGACATGAATATTAACCAGCAGATAGTATTAAATAAAGGAAAAGGGACAAGATTAGAGGGAAAAAAAACAGGAGCTTGATTTTGCAGCTACTGAGTTTGAGATCCCCACGTTGTATCCAAGTAGAAATGTTTCGGAGATCTTTGGGAAAATGCACATGAAGCTCAGGAGAGAGATGGAAAGTAAGGGAGAAGAATGTGTCCATTAGAGAGGCATAAACACAAAGACCCTACCTGAAACTGCTAAGTGGTTGAGTTCTACCACGGAGAGTGCGTAGAGTAAGATGGCGTTGGGTTGAGAGCATAGGTCAGGGAAACAGCAGTGTTTCCTGGGAAGTGATATTGGATCTCTGCCATAATGGCCAGATCTAAAGCCTGCAGTATTTGATTTCCTAATAGCATCTGCCTTTTTGGCTTGTTCTGCCTATCAGCTGGGCAACACAGAGCTTCATACTCAACTTCTGATAAATGTTTCTTGTGTCTGGAGTTTCCCAAAGCCCTTGGAGATTATGCTTTGCTGAGCCGAGTAAGACTCCACTGATTGCTGGACTCAATTTCTAGAACCCACTGCTTTCTTCACTAAGAGGTGGGTCCAGTACAAGCCCTCGGCTTCCATAGCCATACCTGACCTGTTTGCTTGTGAGGAAACCATTATCATCAGCTGGTGATTACTAAATTACCAACCGCCTCCAGACAAACAAATGTCCCTTTATAGAGTTACATATAACTGGGAAGGTTATGTTGAAATTATACATACATAATTTATATATATCTAATGACGTCACTTGGCTTTAAACAAATATTTGTGAAAATAAATTAGATATGAGATACTGTAGTCCTCCCTGATCAGCAGGGAATACGTTCCAAGACCCCCAATGGATGTCTGAAATTGCAGATAGTAGTGAACCCTAGATGTATTATACTATGTTTCTTCCTATACATACATAGCTATGATGAAGTTTAAGGTATAAATTAGGCACGGTAAGAGATTAACAGCACTAACTAATCGTAAAGTAGGACAATTATAACAAAGTACCGTACTTAGAGTTATGTGGATGTAGTCTCTCTTTTTCTCTCTCATAGTATCTTATTGTAGATGTGTGACATCATAAAATGCTTCTGTGATGAGATGCAGTGAGGTGAATGACAGGCACTGTGACGTAGCGTCAGGCTACTGCTGATCTGACAATATGTCAGAAGGAAGATCATTTGGTTTCCACCATGCAGTTGACCGCGGGTAACTGAAACCATGAAAAACAAAACCCCAGATAGGGAGACTACTGTATATACTGAACCTAGGTTGTCAATGCCAACACTATCAAGCAAGTTGATGAAGGTGTATTGTTTCCCACATTTGAGAACTTGGATTTGTTCTACTTGTAGCCAGAGAAGATGGGTGACTGACATCATGGTCTAGTTTTGCAGGATAATGAGTAGAGCTGATTGTCCTCAAAATGCATAGGTTTAAGTTGAGTTTAAGCATTCTGTGTTGGAGCTTAATAAGTTTAAGACTTTAATTTTTTTATTTTAGGTGGATAACAATGCTATTGTCAATATGCTTGGTGTGATAAGGGGAGGATGGAATGGTGGGGTACATAGAATGAGCCTAAGGCACTGGCAGTGTAAGAAAAAACAGTGCCATAAAAAGCCAGCCAATGCCAGACTTAGAATCTTTCCAAATTGGTGGGGCAGTTCTATTGAGGACATGGGTGGCCACTGTGGTTGAGACTTACTGTGTGTCTATAGGAGAATGACTTCAGCCCAATGCTTCTTCTTTATACTGAATCAGATGGTCAGGCCTTCCAACAGGAGGGTCTGGGATGCCTTTGTTCTGTGAAAACAAATTACTTCAACATTCGAATATTACCTGTTTAATTTGGGAGTCTTAGATATAGAAAAGGAAATAAATGTCTAAATCTTTTCTGATGGTTGAATATCATCAAGAATTAACAAATCAATGGGGCGCCTGGGTGGCGCAGTCGGTTAAGCGTCCGACTTCAGCCAGGTCACGATCTCGCGGTCCGTGAGTTCGAGCCCCGCATCGGGCTCTGGGCTGATGGCTCAGAGCCTGGAGCCTGTTTCCGATTCTGTGTCTCCTTCTCTCTCTGCCCCTCCCCCGTTCATGCTCTGTCTCTCTCTGTCCCAAAAATAAATAAACGTTGAAAAAAAAAAAAAAAAAAAAAAAAAAAAAAAGAATTAACAAATCAAGAAATGTAGAAGAAATGATTATAATTTCATTAGATAAAAAGAAAACATTGCAGTTGATTTTTTTGTTTAAATTCCAAGTTCAAATGTCCAGTCAATTCAAGCCACTGTGGGGTACTAAAAAATGTGTATGTGTAATGTAGATTTCCTTCCTTCTTTCCTTCCTTCCTTCCTTCCTTCCCCTCCCCCTGCCTTCCTTCCCCTCCCCCTTCCCCTTCCTTCCTTCCCCTCCCCCTTCCCCTTCCTTCCTTCTTTCTCTTTTTTCTTTCTTTTCTTTCTTTCTTTCTCTCCTTCTTTCTTTATTTCCTTCTTTCTTTTTTTCTTTCTTTTTTCTTTCTTTTCTCTTTCTTTCTTTTTTCCTTCTTTTCTTTTTTCCCTCCTTCTTTCTGTTTCTTTCTTTTTCTTTCTTCCTTGTTTTTTTCCTCCCAACATTTTAGGATTAAGCATGGAACCAAAAATCTTATTTTATAATTTTCAACTTTTGGGAAAATAGGTTCTGCCTTAACAGTAATAATATTTCAGTGATACTGACATTTTAACCTAGTTTTAGGATACTGAGCTGAAGACGCAAAACAATTACTCTCAGACTCTTCGTCACCAGATCATTTTTGCTTTCTAGTTTTTCCTCGTGGGACTGTGGCTATATTTTCCACACCTTCTGCACCATGCTCGGAACTTAGCTTTTAGAACGCTGCCCTCAGTTCCCCTAAAAGGAAGACAGGTGGTATTCCAAGAAACATAAATACTGACATGATCAATAGAACACTGTGTACCGTGAGAGGAAGACTGTTTTATGCTTGAAGAAAATGCTTGGAAAAGGCTGATTTGCATCTGCTCTGCTCTCAGCTCAGAGACGGATTTGAGCTGTATAGTCCAAGACTGCACGGGGATGTTTTGCTCCCATTCAGAATAGATTTATATAAAAACGGAACATAACAACCTCTTCAAATACGTGTCTCTGCTACATTGGTTATATTTATTTATTTTTCTTAGAGGCTTCCTAAACATATTATTAGCAGTTAATATCCCCCATGGGTTTGTTTTCTAATATATCAGGGCTGTGCTACAGTATGCTGTTTCTGCCACTGATATGTTGCTAAGAGATTTAATAATGGGTAAACAAACACAACATGTGGTAATTCATTTCAAATTAAAAGTTTATTAAACTCTGGCTTGATGGCTTTCTGGCTATTTACAATTAAAGGAGCAAACCTTAGGGAAGGGGTGGCCACGTGACGTGTTCATGGCTGCAACGTTTCTATCTGAAAAATATGTTTATGATCTCTCACAAGCTGTCTCACATTGACAGGCTCCAGACAGAATCTGCTGAATCCACTCTACCCCCCAAATCATGAAAAAGCGACTTTAAGATTCACTTGCAAACACTTTAAAATTCACTTGCAAATCATGAAAAAGTGACTTTAAGATTCACTAGCAAACACACACACACACACACACACACACACACACACAGGCACTCTTGAAGGGATTCTGGATTTAACCCCACGGCCGGTATTTTGAGCGGTGATCAGCCTTGCAAATAGGTGGATGCCTGAGGCCAGAACGTATTTATGAAAGGCTAGAAGAAAAGAGCCATGATAATTCTTGCATTATTACCATCTTTTAGGCTGTTTTACTTTTTAAGGGGCGGACTAGGGAAATATTTGTTATGCTTGATAATTTTGTTTTGTGTGTACCTACATGGCATACACAATGGTCTCTGGCAACATCTATATATGTTTTTTGATGCAACATTCAATTCGGGCAAGTTTTATTGTGTAACCAGCGTCAGCAAAGAAGGCCGCCAAATTCTCTGGGAATGCAAACCAAAATAGCATGCAATCTTCGCCCTGCAGGGGCTTACTTGAGCCCAAGCATACTCCTCCGCTGAGAAATACACACACACACACACACACACACACACGCGCGCGCGCGCGCGAGCGGATACATGATGGGAAGGTCTACCAGCACTCTATTCACAATTCAGGACCATGAAGCTTTCTGGAACAAACTTCAAACTTGGAGGAGTAAAGCAGATGCAATTGGCTGAATAAGAAAGACGTAGTTAGAGGAGTTAGGTGGGAAATGTACCCTGTTAATCAGATGTGTTCTCTGGTTCAGTCATCTCATAGTGGGATTCCCAGGGAGAGGGGGACCACACGGAAAGAGCAACCTGCTGAAAGAGAGAAACTCCTCAATGGAATTATGGGAGACATGGGAGTTTACAATACAGTGTAGTACATGCTACCTTGTGACGCATTGGGTTGTGTTATATGCATATACTGTGTTCCCTATACTATAATTCTGTAATCCAAGGTGTCACAGAGCCTGCTGTGGGACAAGATAAGTAAGCAGATTGTGAGTTCACGTGAAAGCCTCGGATGGACTCTCAGAAACAAACAAGTGAGCTTTTGGAGGCAGGTGACATTCTCATGAACTCTTTTTAATGCAATCCCGTTTTAAATCCTACATTGGTGTGATCTGGAAAATGTGTGTTAACTTCACAATTTTGTCCTGGGGTGAAAACGGTAGTTTGGAATTCATTGGTGGAAATGCTTTTGGATAAAAGAAGAGCCACAAGAGAAGTTAAGAAGTCAGAATGGTACAGAGTAGATTTGAAGAACTATAAGGAACTGTAGGATTCCAGCACACGTATGGGGATAGATTTGGGCAAAGGAGTAAGTGAAGGTGAGAAATCCAGTAAGAAGGCCATCGCATCAGCCCAAAGAAGAAGAGATGGTAAGGGCTCGACATAGGATAGTGGCAGCGAGATGCAATCAACAGGGTTTCTTCAAGAGAAATGTTAAAGTCGAGTCAACCGGATTTGGCAGATGAAAAGTTGTGCCATAAAGAGAAATGAGAAAATTATAGTTCGGGTATCTAGGAAGATAGTCTTGCTTTTATAAGAGGTGAGGTACCTAAAGGGGCTGATTTCAGATAAAAGTTGACCAAGTGGTTTTGATCAAATTGAGTATACATTTTTTAAAGTTTGTTAGTGTGTTATTTGTTTATTTATTTACAGAGAGAGGAAGGGAGAAAGACCAAGAGAGAGAGGGAGAGGGAAAATCTCAAGCAGGCTCTGCACTGTCAGCCCGGAGCTGGACGCGGGGCTCAACTCGCAAACTGTGAGAACATGACCCGAGCCAAAATCAAGAGGCAGACGCTGAATGGACTGAGCCACCCAGGCGCCCCTTGATCAAATTGAGTTTAAGGTATTGGGGAAATTAGTAAGACTGTGACCAGCTTGGAGTTGAAAAAAAAATGGATTTAAATTCAGGAGGGACATATGGGTTTCATCCTAATAGAGATGGGCCTAAATCACAAAAAGGACAGTGGGAAAACTATAGGAAAACCTTAATTTAAGGGACAGAAGAAAGAAAAGGGTAGAGTCAACTGAAAAGGAGCAATCTGAAGAAGTAGAGGGGCGCCTCGTGGCTCAGTTGTTTGACTTCGGCTCAGGTCATGATCTCGCAGTTCATGGGTTTGAGCCCCACCTTGGGCTTTCTGAACTCTCCACTCTCAATGCAGAGGGCAGAACCCGCTTCAAATCCTCTCTCTTCTTCTCTGTCTGCCCCTCCCTCTCCCTTTTTCTCAAAAATAAACATTTTTTTTTTTTAAATGAAGTAGAAGGACCAGAATGTGGTATCATGAAGGCTATAGAATTTTAAGCATCTCAAGAAAGGAGCAGGGGGGTGGGTCACATCAGTAAATTACTCTGTTGAAGCACTACTCAAATTTTAAATGCATACAAACCACTCAAGGATCTATTTAAAATGCAAGTTCTGATCCGGTAGGTCTGAGTCGGGCTTTAGACTTTGCAGCTCCTACGTGATACATGATACATTCCTCATCCTTGAGGAATGACGAAAACATAGTTTGCTTTGCAAATCAAGTACATTTTGATGCCTTTTTAAAGGATAGGTAGGGAATGAGGCACAAACCAGACTGCAATGACCAGAGGAGGGAACAAAAAAGAAGAAATGAAGGCAGTGAATATAGAAGACGCTCTCGAAAATGAGGTGAAGGAGTTTCAAGAGCAGCTTAATGGAGTGAAGGGTTGAGAGAAGATTGTACTTGTGTGTGTGTTTTTTTTTTTAATGGATGAATACTTACCCCTCTCTTAATAAACGATGGGAAAATATCTGGAGGAGGAAAAATCAAGAGTGTAAGGGTCTGTTGGGGAGAATTCCCATCATAAGCAAGATAGATGGGAGAGGTTAGTCCTGGAAAGCAGAAAGGATAATTCTTCCTCTGAGGTAAAGGAGAAAAGGAAAAAAAAAAAAAAAGCAGAGTAGTTTAAAAAACAATTCTTTGATACTTTCTATTAAGAAAAAATAAAAACTAACAGCAGCATAAAGAAAAAAATTTTTTTTTGCTCGTGAAATTTAGGAAATGTAATAAATCACTAAGGAACAATAATGTTACTTGGAATTCTAATTTTTAAGTGTCTTAATCTTATTAAGTACTTTCCCTTCTGGGCCCTCTCAAGATAAGCTACTGTTTTCAAAATTGCTGTAGGTTTTGGCCTGAGGACAAAATAAGGATGAACAGGGCTCTGATACCTTCTGGAAAGGCTGAGCCACACAAGTGTAGAGAAGTACTTTCTTAGAGAACATGAGATTACTATGGCATTCACTTTTATCCAGCATTATTAAGATATATTGGGACTATGTTATACTGTGAGATGGGTCAAGGATATAGGGGTCAGAAATATGCCCTCCGTGGGGGGGGGGGGGGCATAAGACTAGAACCATGTATCCAGGAAGTCCATCTCAAAGAACCTTTGAAATAATATGATAGCTCTATCCTGATTCCCTAATTATTTTTTGCTTCAGCCTGTGATCCCACGTGGGTGCTACATGAATGCCATGTTCCTTTGCAAATAGGCATTTCATCCATCTTTGGAAGTATATTTCTTGGGGAGTCCATGGTCTCCTTCTTACTAGATCTCTCTCATCAATGACTATAACGTAAGTACTGTCATATATAAGAGGAAACAAAGAGCCCCTATTTATTCTTGCGTCATGTGCCGCATATATTGAAATCAATTAATATGATGTGAGTTTGTTAGTACGAAGCAGACCACTCGAACTTGACTAAAGATAAAAAAAAAAATTAAGACCCACTTGAAATGAACCAAAATGTGGATGAATTCCGAAAGAAGTCTATTCACACTTAAACATAAATTTGCCTGGAATCTGTGGTTCAACAAACCTAATAAAAACAGTGCTTTCTAAACTTTGCCTATACATCGAATCTTCTGTGGGGCTTTAAACAAATACTCTTGTCTGGGCTCTGCCCCAGAACAAATGTATCAAATTCTCAGGGGGCAGGACCTGGACATCACTATCCTTACAAAACTCCTTCTGGTGATCCGAATGTGCAGCCAGAGTTGAGAAGCACTGATGTGCAGCTGTTGATTGCTCTGGTTTTCCTCAATTCCTACAAATAAAGCAACGTGATTTCCACCTGAGGGTATTCTTTCATGCTATTTCCTGTATCAGGAAGAGCCTTTAACTGCCACTCTTTTTTCATCCTTCATAATCTAGTTTAAGACTTCCTTCCCAAAGAGGCCCTGTTCAGTGCCTCCACTGAGTTACCCCAGGGTTCTTTCCCTTCGTGACAATTGTGCCTTCATCTGTATGTCTCCTGATCTAGACTACAAGCCTCTTGAGGATAGGCCCTAGGTCTACATCTTCCATAGCTGTACTTGGCCGTCAACAATTGCTCAATCCAGATTTGTTAAATAAATGAGTGAATTAATGCACTCCTTAGGTAATTCTGGATTACCAAAGCCGAGAGGTACGAAGGAATGATTTTCACTTGGCCGTGACGCTGTGGTACAGGGGAAAGTAATATGGACCCAGAGTCTGAAAACCAGTGTGAATCACAAGTTTACTGCTCCGTATTCATGAAAGCTTTGTGAGGTCGTTTCCTTTATGTACATGAAATAAGGATAGTAGTGGCTGAATTTTTGATTTTCAAGTTTGTGGAGAGAGTCAAATAAAATAGTAAACATTCTGGTAATTCATTAATCTTTTAATTTGGTTTGATTATATTGTGTTACCTGAAACTGCTCTCTGTGACAGAGCAGAAATTCTTGAGTCCTCTCTAGCTTTGGTTCCTGAAGATGAGAACAAGGGTGGGAGGTGGCCTAAATATGGTAGGCATTGCAGCCATGCTGGGGATGATACACTCTGAGAAGGGACTTTGAAACAGATGTACTTTTTTTTTTTTTTAAGTTTATTTAAGAGAGAGAGAGAGAGAGAGAGAGAGAGAGAGTAAGTGTGAGTGGGGGAGGAGCAGTGAGCGAGAAAGAGGGAGGGAGAGAATCCCAAGTAGCCTCTGCACTGTGAGTCCTGAGGCCTCAAACCCAAGACTCGTGTGATCATGACCGGAGCAGAAACCAAGAGTTGGACGCTCAACCCACTGAGCCACCCAAGTGGCCTGAAACAGACATACTCTTAGATATAAGGCCTCCCTCATCTCTCGAGATGAAGCCTTGAGCTCCTTCTGAAAGCACTGGCTCCATTTCATCTTCAAGCCCCTATTTACTTGACTACATCTTAGAAAAGTCAACGTAAGGAGGTGTTGCTGGACTGCAGACTCTGTGAGGAGGGCTGGGATCTTCGTTTTGTTGATTCGTGTACCCATTGCTTACAGCAATATTTAGCACATCACAGATTCGCAGTAAATATTTGTTGAATGAGTAAGAGCATAGGTTCTGAATGCTATCTGACCTTACGGTTCCTTTCTATGGAAATAAGTCAAGCAAACAGGTTATTTATTTTATTTTTAAAATCAACATACAATAAAATTTACTTTTTTTGGAGTGCTAATGTAATTTAGCACCTATCCAGATTTGTGTGATTAGCACTGCAATCAGGATAAAGAACCATTCTATTACCCAACACTTTCCTTTTTCTTTCTGCTGTCTGCTGTGGGCCCCCCCCACCCCTTACTCCATTGCTCCCACCCCCGCCAGTAAGCATTGATACTCACTGATCTCTTTACCATCACTAAAGTTTTGTACTTTCAGAATTGTTGTGGAGTACAGTAATTTTTTGTTGACAATGCCTCCCTTTAGCCAACATAGTGCCTTCGAGACTCATCTGAATTATATGTATCAACAGCTCATTCCTACTCCTGGCGGGATAACATGCCCGTGAATGGATGTCGCATCCTTTAACTGTTCACTTATCAAAGGACACAGCGATTGTTTCTATATTTTGGCGATTATGAATAGAGTTGCTATAAATATTCACATACAAATTTTCGTGTGAGTAAAGTATTTATTTTTCTAAGAGATATACCTAAGAGTAGAATTGCTGAGTTGGAGGCTATGTATATTCTTAACTTTATAAGGAACTTCCGCTTGTACAGAGTGGCTGTACAATTTTGTATTTCTGCAAGGAGCACATGAGACTTTCAGTTGCTCTGCCCCCTTGTCTACACTTAGTATTGTTGGTTTTTTCCAAAAGTTTTTCTAATTCACATTCAAATTAAATTTGAAATCATAATCTCAATTTGTGTTCTTTTAGTGGCTAATTTTATTAACCATCTTCATATATGCTTACTGGCCATTTATATTAATATCTGCTAAAGTATCTGTTCAACTATTTTGCCTATTTTGAATTGGGTTGTTGGTTTTTCTGTTGTTGAATTTTGAGGGTTCTTTATACATTCTGGATACAAATCCTTTGTTGGATACGTGGTTTGCAAATGCCTTTTCCGTGTCTGTAGCTTGCCTTTATTTCTTTCTTGCTTTCTTTCCTTCTTTGTATTTATTTGTTTATTTTTGAAAGAGAGAGAGAGAGAGAGAGAGTGAGAACAAGTGGGGGAGGGGCAGAGAAAGAGGGGGACAGAGGATCTGAAGTGGTCTCTACATGGACAGCAGAGAGCCTGATGTGGGGATCAAACTCATGAACAATGAGATCATGACCTGGGTTGAAGGCAGATGCCTAACCAACTGAGCCACCCAGGTCCTCCTGACTTTTTATTTTCTTAAAATGTCTTTCTCAGCACAAAAGTTTTGAATTTTGATTTATTTTTTTTAACGGATTGCACTTTTGAAATCGTATCTATGACCTCTCTTCACCTAATCCTAAGGCACAAGATTTTCTCTTATGTTTTTCCTTTGTAAAGTTGTAGAGTTTACATTTTATGTTTAGATTGATGATCCAATTTGGAGTTAGTTTTTTTTTTTTTTAATTTTTTTTTTCAACATTTATTTATTTTTGGGACAGAGAGAGACAGAGCATGAACGGGGGAGGGGCAGAGAGAGAGGGAGACACAGAATCCGAAACAGGCTCCAGCTCTGAGCTGTCAGCCCAGAGCCCGACGCGGGGCTCGAACTCACGGACCGCGAGATCGTGACCTGGCTGAAGTTGGACGCTTAACCGACTGCGCCACCCAGGCACCCCTGGAGTTAGTTTTTGAATAAAGTGTGAGGTGAACGCTGAAGTTTTTTTTTTAATTATTACTATTTTTTCTTTTTAGACATGTGAATGTCTAGCTGTTCCAACAGCATTTGTTGAAAACACTATTTTTTTGCCACTGAGTTGCCTTTAGCCCTTTGTCAAAACTCAGTTGGCCATGCATATGTCTTTCTATCTTAGTGACGTATTAGGTGGCTTGGTGGGAGGCCTCTGCCCAGCGTGTACCGTTGTGTTCAATCTAAGCCACGAAGTAGAGGCATAATGGAGGGAAAATTAATTAGCCACAGTGGGAACAGAAGCATAGATAGAAAGTAGCTGAAGGCCCATAATACTGGAACTCAGAACAGGGAGCCATGGACAAGCTGGTCACTAGAGCTCAGTTAGTATATTCATTAGTATATATCATTATATAATATTTTACATATTATTATATAAGGGGACTTCTGTGTGGATGTCAGAGCTCCAGTATGCGTGGCCAGTTTTAGACAATTCTCCACATGTTCCCCAAAGTCCTTAGGCCACCTTTCTGTCATGTGTAAGAAAAGGAAAGCAGTTTTCAGGCACTGTTAATTATCCCAGACCATAGTGGCATATACTTTCAGTTAGTAATTTGAAAGTCTATTGTTACCTGGTTTCTATGGAAGAGTTATGAATCTGATATTTGAAAATGGTATATATATATGACTTCTTTGCTTTTGACAGTTGGAGTTGGGTTTGTGGAGACACTGCCCCCCAACAATTTCCTGTTAGGTGTATTTCTACTCACTCAGCTAGCTTTTGAGGAATGAGTGCATCTATAAAATGCATCCTAGATTGCAAGAACTTGGAATGGTCACTTCAGAATCACAACTTGGTGAGATGTTGAGGCACTTTTTAGATATGACATTTGTTCTTTTGGGCTTCTTGATTTTCAAAAAAAAATTTTTTTACGTTTATTTATTTTTGAGAGACAGAGCACAGGTGGGGGAGGGGCAGAGAGAGAGAGAAGGAGACACAGAATCTGAAGCAGGCTCCAGGCTCTGAGCTGTCAGCACAGAGCCCGGCATGGGGCTCGAACTCACAGACCGTGAGATCATGACCTGAGCCGAAGTCGGATGCTTAACCGACTGAGCCACCCAGGCGCCCCAAGTTTCTTGATTTTCAAATAGCATAAGTGAGTATGAGTTGATTATAATGCATGCAAAATTGAAGCTCAGGGAACCACCACAGTATGTTTCTAAGTGATTAATTGGCACAAAAACTAATTACCTGCAATTTGAAGATGATTTTACTTAATATATCAGGGAAATTCATCAAATTATTTTAAATCAGAAAAATCTTTTGAAGTATTTTAAGTAATTAAAAACTGTTAAAGTGTCAAGTGGTCAAGATCAGTCAATCTTTCTTTCTCTTTCCCCTTCCTCCCTTCCACCCTCTTGTTCGTTCGTTCGTTCGTTCGTTCGTTCCTTCGTTCCTTCCTTCCTTCCTTCCATCCGTCCTTCCTTTGGTCCTTCCTTCAGATCAATGAAATTGTCATTTTGTAACTTTATTTA